CTCTCTCTCTCTCTCTCTCTCTCACACACACACACACACACACACACACACACACACACACACACACACACCACACACCACACACCCTACACATATCCCAAGTCTATGTGAAAGATTCTACAAGTCCAATTAACTTTCTGATTAGAAAGCTGTGGTTGTGGAGAGTTGGAATGCTGCAGATCCAAAGCCAAAATGATCTTGGATGATCTTCAATTCCCTTAATTCATTGTCCATCTCTTTTTCTGACCTAAAACCATTTGATTATCAGGTAAAGCCTTTTAGAATGTATTAACTTAGCTTTCCACAAACCAAAAGCTAAGAACAACATTTGAGACCCATAGCAGATTTTCCCACCTACATAACATTCCTACCAATGTATTTTTTAAATAACTTGATTTTATAATTTCCTTTTCTTCTATAAATATAAAAATTTCATGAAACTGTTTCCACATTGGAGCATGTCATTTGGGATGACGTGACCCCATATTCCTGGGCCGTGGTCACTCATATTTGGCTCAAGAATGAAGCATCTCTTATTCCCTTTGGGGTGAGAGCTGTTCTTTCATTGCTGGCTGGTGAGCTGCACTCACCGTGAGAGTGGCCTGGGATGGCAAGGGTCAACAGGAGTGGTCACCATGTAAGGTACAGGCCTGAGGTTGACCCTGCCAGATGATCACAACTTAGGAAGATGTTACTGGGCTAAAGGAGGAAAGGAAAACAGCCCCCTCCTGTCTCCACAATGTAGGCTTTCAGAGTGACAGGCTCTTCCTCAGCTCTTGGAGAACTTGGGGAACTACAGTGACAGACGACTGATGTTCACCAAAGCAAGCCAAAGGCAGTGAATTCTGAGTTCACTGTCTCAGGCTCAAGAAGAATAAAGAAATGTGGTTAAGGGGTGAGTAGAAAGAAGATAACTATGAAGGGACCGTGAGAAAGAACTCCTGAGAGTGGAAGGGGCCACAGGGAGGAACCCCAATGTGCTGTCTGGCCCAGGGACCCTCTGTGGGAACTAGATAGAGACACGAGTCATCTCGATTGGGTTTGCTCCTTTCTGAGCGTAACTTGGGCTGAACCAGTGGAGTGAGTCCCTGTGGCCTATGAATGTTCCCTTGGCACAGCTGAGAGGTCACTGGTGACTCCTCTGATCAGGGGAGTGGTGGCTTGTGCTAGAAGACTTCCTCCTGATCAACCCTTGCTGTCTGTAGGGACCTAACTCCTGCCTTCCTGAGACCCAGGGCTCCTGGCCCTGGGCCCTAACAGGGAACCCCTCCCACAAGCCATTATTCATCCACAAGAGATGAGCACCATGCAGTCATAATGGAAATGTGTAGTCACTGGATCGGGTGACTAAGATGGTAACCTCTGTAAAGAGGGCTCTTCTGGTTGATGACACCACTCAGTGGCTAGAGGTGCCTGCCACCACACCTGACAACCTGGATTCAAGAGCCAGGACCCACATGGTAGAAAGAGAGAACCTACTCTAGCAAGCTGTACTCTAACATGTGTGTGTGTATGTGTGTGTGTGTGTGTGTGTGTGTGTGTGTGTGTGTGTGTGTGTGTGTGTGTGTACATGCATACACATGTGGGCACACACACTAAGTAAACGTAATTTTTTAAATGTTTTTAAAATATGTGTCTCCCACAGGCAAGGTCAGAGCCCTGCATTCTCTGCAGAAGAACTTGACCCTCTGAAAACACAGCAAACCCTGGTTTGAGAGTTCAGACCAAGAGAGTGGGGGATAGGATTGCAATAACAATGCAGGGTGACTGGAAAGGGCAGCTGTACACAAAACCAGGGAGGAAGCCAGACTCTTTTTTTTTTAATATGAAATTGCTAAATTAAAAGCCTTTTTGATCTATATTGGGTTTCTGGATCCTGGGCTGTTTGGGCCTTAAATGAGAACCAGACTACAACACAGCATTGTGTTGCATATGAGGAACCCTGAGAAAACCAGTGAGCAAGTGGGCAGAGCCCAGGCTGGGTGACAGGGCTCCAGCCAAGTTCATTGCAAGCCCCTCCAAGCAGCCAGACGCCACGGTCTGCTGTGCACAGACGTTGTTGGGGATGGTCCCTGAGCTTTCTGCATGGAGCCAGGGCTCCAGCACCTCTTCTTGTCACCTGGTCCTCCCCACCCACTCCCCATGAACCCCATGGGTCTTCCCTCTTGGTGTCTGCCTACAAGGGCAGTGGGGTTGATATCGAAGGGTCTAACAACAGATGAATACATTGAGTAAATACCAAGAGTGGGTCCTTAGAAATACTCAAGTTTCTGCCATTAAAGCCATGACACCTCTCTAGACTCAACTGCCTCTTTCAAATTTGATTTTATTATTTGTGTGCACACATGTGCTGCAGCCCACATGTGGAGAACAGAAGACAGTTTTGAGGTTAGTGTTCCCCTTCCACCTATATGTGGGTTCCAGGGATCAAAGTCCAGTGACCAAGGCCACAAAGTAAGTGACTTTATCTCTGTGCCATCTCTCTGGACTCAGCAAGGGGTTGGTGATTGCTTCCAACTGGGCACCTACAGTGCAGTAGCTCCAGCCTGGGCCCAGCTTCCTCCACCTGGCCCTTAGTACCCACTGAGGGAAGCAGGGAGCCCCATCCACCCTCCCAGGCTCTGGAGCCCAGCCAGCTGCCCCCGTCCTAGAACAGTAAGAGAGCCTCTGAATTAATTCTCCCCCTCCTCTCTCTCTTTCTCTCTCCTCTCTCTCTCTCTCTCTCTCTCTCTCTCTTTCTCTCTCTCGTCTTTGTCATCTCTCTCCTCTCTCCCCCTTTTCTCTCTCTCTCTCTCTCTCTCTCTCTCTCTCTCTCTCTCTCTCTCTCTCTCCCTCCCTCCCATTTTTATGATGCAAACCAGACAGAGAGGAGAAAACTCAAAAAGAAATGTTTGAAGAATAATGGTGTTTTTTGTTGTTTTAAAAAAAAATGCTCATTAAAAACAAATTCAAGACATAAAAAGAACAAAAAGATTCCTCCAAAGTTAAGAGGGAAAGAGTATAAAAATAATAAGAACTTGAGAAGTTCTATTTTGGAACAGCCATGTGTCCCAGGTTTGACTTCCTGCTTTGAAAACTAGCCTTTGCCATCTGCCTCTCCTCTCAGTCATTCACAGGCCAGGTTAGTAATCCTACACTCTATAAAGTGAGTGTGTGAGGTGGCGAATGTGAATTCCAGAGCACAGTGGACTGTGTGCCCACTCACTGTCCTCAGCTAGAAGTCTTGTTCCTGACCGTATAGTCAGATTCCTCAACACTGGGCGCAAAGGGCTCTGGGGAACTCTGTCTCAGACACTCCAGGCCTGAAGACATATGCAGACTTTGCAACCCAGGAGCAGGTGGGTCCCATCTCCCCGACCCCTGTACTGGAGGCTGTGGCTGTCATACTCTGTCTTTCCTAGCTTGATCTTCTAGTTTTCCAGTCTTTTTTCATCGACTGCCTTCCCTGCCCCTTATTTCTAATTTCTTCTGATTCTTCCATAAATTTATTTTTATGATGATGCTATCTGGTTTTGAATCCAAGCCCCCTCTGTTATGTTTAAGTTTTCTTTTGTTATACACCCTGCTGCTGTTTCAAAGGTCCTTTAATTCTTTGTTTGTTTGGGGGGTTGTTTGTTTGTTTTGTTGTTGGGGGAGATAGGGTTTCTCTGTGTAGCCCTGGCTGTTCTGAAACTCACTCTGTAGCCCAGGCTGGCCTTGAACTCAGAAATCTGCCTGCCCCTGACTCCCACGTGCTGGGATTAAAGGTGTGTGCCACCCCGGGCTGGCCTTGATTCCTTATGGATGCTCCTTAGTTGCCTTTGCTTTCTGCACTGTACCTCCACCCACTGGAGCATTCCTCAATCCACCTATCACACTCTCCAAGCATCCCACGGGCTTTGGCTGTTGCTCACAGTCAGGAGGAACACTGAAAGTCTGCTGTGTCTGTCCAGGCTCTGAGACTGCAGAACAATGTCTCAGGACCTTTGCCTCAAGGAAGTTGGGACAACCAGCAACTGGGGATCTTACTCTCAGACTAATTGCTGTTCTACAGAGGGGACCCCCATACTCCTGCCTGGAAGCGCTCCAAGTCCTGTACACCAACAAAAAAGGGCTGGGTCTGTGAAGCCCCACCCCGCCTGGCTCCTACCTTTCTATGAGCCCTCCATTCCCAACGATGCAGCCTCTTGAGGCTGGCAGTTCCTCCACCAGGTCTCCCCAGGATGCAGAGCCCCAGTTTTCTGCAGGGCTGCAGGGAGCAGGCACCCATTCTTTCCAAGAGAAGCAAGGTGGCCTGAGTCCAGCTGTTCTCTTGACAGCCTCTGGGCCTCACTCCACAGCCAGCTTCCTGATGCTTCCCCTTGACCACTAAATCATTCACCCACACTGCTGAGGTCTGAATATATACATTTTCCCCACCTCAAATCCACATGCTGGAACCCGTCACCCAGTGTGAGAGTCTTAGGAGGTGGGACCTGGAGAGAGGCGGGGGGATCACAAGAGTGTCACCCTCATGAATGGAATCAGTTCCCTTAGGGAAAAAAAAGCTTACAGGAGCTATTTTTGGCCACATAATGATGCAGCAACAAAAGGCAGACCTTCACCGGACACTGGGTCTGCTGTGGCCT